TATATATATATATATATATATATATATATATATATAATATATATAAAATTCCCAATAGTATAGAATCCAGGTAGAACTCAATGTCCAGAAATAATATAAAAGGCAAACACTAATATTCCATGGTTGTAATTTATTACATTGGAATCGTAATCACGATCCAATTCGTCAGACCTACAGATTCAAAAAATTTTTTGAATTTGTAGGTTTGATGAATTGAACGTGATTACGATTCCAACGTAATAAATTATTATGGAATATTAGTGTTTGAGACTATTATATATATATATATATATATATATATATATATATATATATATATATATATATATATATATATGCACACAGTGGGGGGAAATAAATATTCGTACACCAAGAAATTTTTTAATTAACATAGTTTTTCCCCTCTTCTCTTTATCACAAGAAGAAGATATTCATTCGCAACAATATTTTACTCCAAATACACCAATTATACCAATAAGAATTCGTAACAATTTATTATACTTAACATACTTATAACATATTAATTATTATTGACACAATTATTAAAATATTTATATACAACTATTTAAATTGTAGAATAAAATAGACGACAGTTATGTAATTATAATCCTAGTTACGAAATTATTTATAAAGTTTATTAATTGTAGAATCAGAATCTGTCTATATTTCTGAGATGAGGTATTATGTACACTATTTACATTATTCTGACTATTTACATTATTCGGACTATTGTCCTCATGTTTGTCGCCATATTTATTACAAATAAAATTACATATTTATTATTTCGGCTGTTGTACGCTCCGGCCTTCTTCAGGTGGTTGGAATGTCGAACTGAAGCCTTTATTTCGCTCATTGGGGTAGACTGTTCTAGTTCCACGTGCCATGTCTAATGGATGTCAGTTATCAGTTATCTCCTGTTAATTCACCTCTACAAGTTCTCCACTACCTTAACCGGGTATTGAACTCGCACGCTTTGGGTCTCGTCACTGGATCTAACCAACGCCTTTATCCACTATGTCCATGGAGCGTACCACGGCCGAAATAATAAATATGTAATTTTATTTGTAATAAATATGGCGACAAAGATGAGAACAATAGTCCGAATAATGTAAATAGTGTAGAATCAATTGTATCAATTATAGATTTATTATTATTATTCAGTCATTGAATCATTATTAAGTTATACTCAGTTATTTAGATTCAATATCTTTTAAATATATTTTAAGTTGCTTTTTAAATAAATGTTTAGAAGTAGAAATAGTAATGAAGAGAGGTCAAGTGTTCCACAGCTTTTCTAAATAGCGAATCGATCTCAAACAATATCGTAAAGTATTATTACGCATCAAAACATAAGCCACCACGAGTAGTCAGTAATTTTAATTTAAATATTTCCGGACGTCTTAATATTTTTTTCTATTTTGGGGGAGAGGCAGAGCGTTTAAGAAAACATGTCGACAGGAAATAGCCCTAAACAATCTCTCCTACAGCCTAGAAATAGGATCAATGTAGAAGGAAAAAGTTTTACCCCCACATTATTATTTGGTATTGCAAAAAGGAGGAGGCAAATAAAACATTATAAATGCATACAAGAACATTGTAAGGAAGCTTAGTTCTTATTTTAAACAATATACCACAAATTCTTACTAATTTTTTTTTTTTTTTTTTGAAAGTTTACAGTGATGGTATTTCTAATTCAGGTTTTCATCCAAAAGTACACCTAAAAATTTTACAAATTTAATCCTCTGTATGCATCTTTTACATTACTTAAAATCCATACAATATTTCTACACCATTGCAAAATACTGCAATATGCAAAAAAACAATTCGAAAATTTATAACATTTCGAAGCGAAAAAAGTATTTGTACAAAATATGTCTGTAATAGCAAAAGGCTTAAATTACCTTCATTTACATAATTCTTTGTCAGATTTTGCTAGATTCTTCCAATTATTACAGGAACAATCTAGAACATTCCACAATTCATCTCTTATATAAGGTTATCTCCACGCAGAAATCATCCACAATAATTATCATCAGGCAGAAAGGCAAGAAACTATCAAATTCACAAAAAGAATTGATCATCAAACATTGGAAGGAAGGTAAAAGCTACAGGAAAAGCTAGAAGATATCTTGAATCTACCATTTACTACTATTAGTTCCATTATTGCTAAGTATAAGAAGGTCAAAACTGTTGAGAACAAATCCAGATCTGGTGCATCACGCAAGATTTCTCCAAGATCAATAAGAAGAATTCAGCGCAAAATCCAATGACTACTTGCAGAGAAATCCAGGAAGAATTAAAAGCATCAGGTATTATTGTTATGAAGCGAACAATCAGCAATGAACTTCATAGAATTCAACAAAGATCACGTGTTCTCCAAGAAAAAAACTCCATTACTTTTAAAGAAACATAGAGATACCCGGTTAAAATTTTGTTCGTGAAAAAGAATAAAGATGTGAATCATTTTGTCAAAATGTTTTATGTTCGGATAAAGCAAAAATTGAACTATTTGGGCGTAATTCAAGGAATCACGTTTGAAGAAAACACGGCACAGTCTTTGCACCGAAGAACACAATCCCAACGGTGAAATTTGGTGGTAGCAATATCATGGCTTGGGGGTGGTTTTCTGCTAATGGTACGGGTAATTGAGAGATGGTAGATGGTAGGATGAGTTAAAAAATATACCAAAATGTTTTAGGTTAGTAGTAAAGCTTAGACTTCCAAATGAATAAGTTTTACAAGATAATGACCCTAAACATATGGCTAAATCTACGAAATAAATGGCTGTATTGAAAACAATATCATTACACTCGAATGGTCATCACAGTCTCCGGACTTGAATCCAACAGAGAATTTGTAGCTTTTATTAAAAATTGAAATTAATAAAAGATCTCCCAAAAACATCCTGGACCTAAAGAGAATATATGCAAAAAAGAATGGAGCAAAATACCAACAGAAACTTGAAAATCATTGATTAAAAGCTACAGAAAGAGATTGATTTCTGTTGAATTGAGTAAGGGATATGCTATGAAGTATTAAATAGGTATTATAATTTTGTCCGAATGCTTCTTTCACCTCCAAATTTTTTAAATTTCCTATAATTTTATTAATATAACAAATTTTTCTGATTTTATTTTTGCAGCATTATGCCATGGTATACAAATATTGTATGGATTATAAAATCATTTTATAAAATCTAACTACGTTAAATAAAAAAATTAATACTGTACGAATATTTCTTTCCCCCCACTATATACATTATATATATATATATATATATATATATATATATATATATATATATATGTGTGTGCATGGGGAGTAACACCTTTCACAAAGTGCTCAAATACGACAAGTGATGCGGAGCGACACTTTCAACCATAGCAAAGTACACAGACACTACTTTTTATCCTATGCAGAGGGGGTAATTGATAAACGATAAATCTAACACCATCACTATCCCTACCATTACAACTAGTACAAAGAATAGACACTTTTTAAAATCTTATGCATTCTTGAACTACGGATCTTGGTCTTTTATGATGGAAATTTAAGTGCTTTCCATCCGAAATATTGATTCACACAAAAAACATATGTGAAGTATTTACGATCAAAAAAGTTGTCGGTCCGATGAAGATGAATAATCTAGAATCATGAAGCGCACAAGCTTATTCTACACATTCAGCCAACAATTCAACACATTTGACACATAGATAGATAGATAGATAGATAGATAGATAGATAGATAGCTAACCAGATAGATAGATATGATCATTAGATAGATAGATAGATAGATAGATAGATAGATAGATAGATAGATAGATAGATAGCTAACCAGATAGATAGATATGATCATTAGATAGATAGATAGATAGATAGATAGATAGATAGATAGATAGATAGATAGATAAACATTTAGCTAGTTAGATAGATAGCTAACCAGATAGATATGATCATTAGATAGATAGGTAGATAGATAGATAGATAGATAGATAGATAGATAGATAGATATCTTTAATTTATTTTGTTTAAACGTTATTTTTATGGATAATCATGTTCGTGTAGAAGCTGTTTTTAATTAAACAGTATTTTTTATCCAACTACACATCTAGCAATCTGAATATTCGAGAAATCTTGTCAGAAGAGTCCGTTTATATCTACCAAAATTAGAGAGGCGGGGATTTACAAAGGTTAGCTTAGCTTTTTTTTTTTTTTTTTTTTTTTTGAGTACAAAGGCATCGAACAGCTAATGAAATAAGCTTGTTAATCGTTACATTAAAACCAGTATTTGGGGTTAGAACAATTGATACAGCTAACTTAAATATTTGATGATTTTAGTTTAATTATTTTAATGGTTTACATTACGGTAAGAAGGATGGAACTTGCAATATTAACGATGGTTAAAAGAGACTAATTTGTAATAATTACTCTCTGATGACACCCATTAAGATAGATAGATAGATAGATAGATAGATAGATAGATAGATAGATAGATAGATAGATAGATTAGGACATAGCTAGATTCAAGCTTAAACATTTGCAAGAATCGAATGTTCATTCACAAGGGTCGAGACTTATGCAAAGCGCGTCTAGCATAGGGCTATGGTTAACAAGCTAGGTTCGGATCGTTCGCTCGTGTTTTGAGTTTGAGCTTCCAAGTGCCTCGTTGTTATGGCCCTGTGTCAAAGTAAGCATATCAATATGTTTTATAAATATTTGCGCATAAGAAATTATGTCTGTAAACACGTGTTTAAAAATAATGAAAAGATAATTCTTATTTCTCCTGTGTTAATGTCAACGCCATATCAGACGTCTGTCTTTAAATCACCCGAAAAAGAATCCGTTTCAGTTCTTTCGATCTCTTCACTTTCTTTCGTTATTTCTTTTTAACTCTCGCTTCATTTTTCTTCTATTTTTCCATTTTCTTAAGTAATTTGTTCGTTCTTTTTCTTTCTTCTTGCTCTCCTGTCTCTCTTTAGAAACCATTGTACCAGCCGTCAATGTTTAACAAAAAGAAACATTCACACAATTTCTCTCTCTTTCTATTTTTCTCTCTCTCTCTCTCTCTCTCTCTCTCTCTCTCTCTCTCTCTCTCTCACTCTCTCTCTCCCCTTTCTGGTCTCTCTTCTTTATATTTCCTTTTATCTCTCACTCTTTTACTCTTCTTATTCGTTCTTTGACACTTTTCTTTCACTATTTTTTCTTCTTCCTTTTTCCCCCTTACCTCTTATGAAAAGCACTGGAAACAGATGGCATCTATCAAATATGAAAACCGGTCAGTGCAAGGTGTTAAAGGATGATCTTTATTCAAGTACGGCTTCCCCTGCCCTTGCCAATACTTCAATCCCTGACTCGCCCTGACCCCTCACCATCATCCGTACTCTCCTAGACTCCTTACACTCCCATTACTCTCCTTTGCAATCCATCACCATCCCCTGACAACACTCTATATAACCCTTTTTTCCATCCTCATCCCAACACAAGGGGCAACGCACAAAGTCGATTGACAGGAGCAAAAAACTCAATTGATGAGTGCGTGGGTGTAGGTCGGGTGAAGGGTGTGCGCCGCCCTGTACGTGTTTTCCTTTTATATGGAGTATATACTTTTATGCAAATGTCTTTCTGCACACGCGTTGAGAGTACAGGTTTCAAAAGTTGTATGTCGGGGTTTCCTGTTTTAGCATGTTTCTGCTTAAACGCGCACGTATGTATATGTTAGAAGGATTGAGCTTCATACGAAAGTGAGGTGACATTTGGGAATACTTGTTGGATCTATCTATCTATCTATTACAATCTGTCCCTATCTATCTATCTATCTATCTATCTATCTATCTATCTATCTGTCCCTATCTATCTATCTATCTATCTATCTATCTATCTATCTTAATAGGTGTCAACAGAGAGTGATTATTCCAAATTAGTCTCTTTTAACCATCGTTAATATTGCAAGTTCGATCCTTCTTACTGTATACCTCTTGGTTGCAACTCATTAAAGTATTTTTCCCCATTAAGTATAGCAAATTTTAAACAAAACGATCATACATATCATATATATATTATGTTAGTGCCGAGTGGTTAAAACGTTCGATTACTGACCATGAAACCCGGGTTCAAATCTCACCAGGGTCGATTTGCCTGGAAAGTAACGACGCCGACGTTCTAGGCGATCCTAGCATTGCGTTGGAGAGTGTCCGAAAACCATACCCACGAGTTGACCCAAGCCTTTTGAGTGAAATTGAGCAGACAGACCTGTTCGTAGGCCATCGATGACAGTGCTAGAAGGAAATCTCAAATCATCCTGACCGAGCATTTGTGGGTACTGATCTTGTTCAAACTCTGCTGATCACGCCATATGCTTCACTGTCTCTCATAAAATGTAACTAGTGTCCGCTCAGCAGAGTTGCAGTATAAACCACAGGCGGGCTGCTCTGTGCGTGTTTAATAAACACAAATGGGCCTGGGCAGGTGCTTGCAGCAGGGATTGGCTACTCACCCTAGCAGATAGGTATACTCGAATACGAGCGTCTAGCCATTATATACAGACAGACGTGCGTCTTTCAATAGGTGAATATATGTGTATGTAAACGTGTATGTGTACCTCCGAATATATATTTTCGTGTGTATTTGCATGTGAATTTATGCATATACGCACATGTGTGTATTATATATATATATATATATATATATATGTAAACATACACGTGAGTGTTTATAATGAAGTTGTTGATTACTACTTTGCACTAATGTCCCTTAGAAAAACACTTAGAAAACACTTCTGAGTTCTCTTTGACCAAATATCTTGATAAAAAAAAAACTTGTTACTGTCATTTCTTAATAATTAATAGATAAAGAGTGAATGAATGAGAACTTTGCATTTTTGAAAAACATCATCATCGCTTTGTTGAAAGGACATCGCTACATACAGTCTCGACACCGAAATAGAATTACAATTGCGTATGTATGTATGATCGAACGCATGGATGTGTATCAGCGTCTAATCTCGGATTGTTTATATGGGTGTGGGAACTACAATGCGTACACATGTATGTATGTATGTATGTATGTATGTATGTATGTATGTGTGAGAGTGTCATCCCAAAACGGACACAAAGGAGAATTTCTCCCTCCCACCACCAAACATAATTAAACACAAACAAGCCTAAATAGATTAAGTTTTTTTAATAAAAGCGTGAAACCTATGGTCACAAACTCATATCCATACAACTGAATATGTTAGCTCTATCAATGATATTGAGCACTTCCCAATAACTACTGCACACATAAAATAATATATATATATATATATATATATATATATATATATATAAGGCATAAAAAGCAAGAAATTTTATATTATAGGCCATGATAGATTTAAAACAAAAAAACACGCACCAGTCGACCGGTTTCGTCCCTCTCATCAGAACTGTTAACGGGGAACTAAAATTATGAAGTGAAGAAAAAGAAAAAGTCTGTCATGGATGACATGAATGAGTGGACAGGGAGAGAAAAAAAATTAATTATAAAAATTATACCAACAAAGATGCTAGAAGCGCAGCACAGCAAGTCCAAGAAAACAATCTCTTTGTTTTTCAGAATAAGTTAAAACATCTTATCTCCAAGAGATTTGGCTGTATAGTTGAACCAAATGCTACAAAAAATGTAGTTATTTTGTCCTCTTATTCTCCTTTAGAGATTGAGCTTGCTATCTTGGCCCACGGCCTAGACTTTAGCATCCCTTTTATTGCTATTATTAGGGAGAATATTTTTTTCTGAATTTGAAGTATTTTATGCTCAACTCTCGAAGCTTCAACCTGTGTCTGGTGATAAATCCAGTGACTTTCGAGCCAAATTGAATGATTTGGCTCATTCTTATGCTAGTTCTCCTATTTCTTTCTCTGAATCGAAATGGAGAAGTGAACACCATAAGGTTATTAGATCCCTTAAGAATAACCATTCTTTGGTCATTACGAAACCGGATAAGGGATTTGGTGTCGTCCTCATGGACCACCATGACCACATTAACAAAATGTTAAGTATACTGAATGATCTTTCCAAGTTTCAACGTCTTGGTTTCATTGAAACTCATGATTCTACGCTGACTTCTGAAATTCGATTTCAGAAACGTCTTGCCAAATGTGTAAAAAGTGGTGTTCTTTCTTCTGAAATGGCGGAGCAATTGAGACCGTCTGGCTCTATTCGTCCCCGTCTTTATGGATTACCCAAGATTCATAAGAAGAGTGTCCAGTTGAGACCCATATTATCGATGATTGGGTCTTCACAGCATAAAGTCGCAAAGTGGCTTGCTATAATGTTGCAACCAGTGTTGCAGCATTATAGTTCCTTTTGTATTAAAGATTCGAATTGTGATGCCACTGATGGATTTATGTGTTTGTTTGACATCTGTAGCCTCTTCACTTGTGTTCCTTTATCGGAGACTATTGGTATTTGCAGCGATATGTTATATCGTAGTGATTTGACTCCTCCGAATATACCTGAAGAAGTGTTCGTTGAACTCATGAAATTTGCCACCATGTTTGTCGATTTTAGTTTCGACAATATCATGTATCGTCAGATCGATGGTGTAGCGATGGGTTCCCCTTTGGGTCCTGTTTTGGCAAATATTTTTGTGGGTTTTTACGAGGAAAGCCTTTTGTTAGGTTCTGCCCAGCCCAATGTTTACTTTCGGTATGTGGATGACACTTTTTGTGTGTTCAGACATGAATCGAAAGTGGATCAATTTTTCCCTACTCAACGGTGTTCATCCTGCCTTTAAATTTACAGTAGATAAGGAGGTCAATGGTTCATTGCCCTTCTTAGATGTTCTTGTTCAAAGAACTCCTTCCTCGTTTATTACCTCTGTTTATAGGAAGTCTACCTTTACAGGTCTATATACTCGATGGGACTCTTTTTTGTCCTAAAAGACAAGATAAATTTGATTAGGACCCTGACACATAGGGCGTTAATGATTTGTTCGGGTGACACCTTGAAAGATGAAATCAGTTGTTTAACTGAGATCTTTGTGAACAATGGTTATCCGTTGAACATTGTTCAATCGGTTATTCGGGATAAGACTGCCAGGTTCAATAAAATCAAACCTGCTTTAGTGGGTAATGGTCCGGTCTATCTTCGTTTACCGTGGTTGGGTAGGATTAGTGAATCCTTCGCCAAGCGTATTTCATGTAGTTCCCGTGAGTGTTATTTTGCAGCGAACGTTTGTGTTGTTTTTCAAACTAAGTCCGTACTTTCATCTATGTGTAATGATGTTCTACCCCCCCCACACACACACACACACCATATTAATTCTGTTATTTACCATTTCAAATGTAGTTGTGGATGCGACTACATAGGTAGAACGACACAGCGGTTGGACGTTAGAATTAACAACACGTACCTGCTATGATACTGAATAAAAATTTTTCTTTGGGCGATACTATTCGTAACACGTATGGGTCTTCGATTGCGGATCACTTTATAAAGAATCCCACTTGTGCGATGGATTTCAGTGTGAACTGGTTTTCCGTTTTGGCCAGTTCACACTCATTATTCCATCTTAAGGTGTTGGAGACGCTTTACATCAGGTCCAGGCAACCTGCTCTTTGTAAACAAAGCGATTGTTGGGCTTGGACTTGCTGTGCTGCGCTTCTGGCATCTTTGTTGGTATAATTTTTATAATTATTTTTTCTCCCTGTCCACTCATTCATGTCATCCATGACAGACTTTTTCTTTTTCTTTTCCTCATAATCTTAGTTCCCCGTTAACCGTTCTGATGAGAGGGGAGGAAACCGGTCGACTGGTGTGTGTTTTTGTTTTAAATCTATCATGGCCTATAATATAAAATTTCTTGCTTTTTATGCCTTAATACGCTTCTGTACTGTTTCAAACTATTTAAATATATATATATATATATATATATATATATATATATATATATATATATATATATATATATATATATATGTGGAGAGAGAGAGAGAGACAAAGAGATGCAAGCGGAAATTGGTTTCTTGACAGAACTTTCTATAATTCAAACATGTTTATTTGTATTTCAGTCATTAAGAACAGGTACCACGTAAAGCAACACAATCTGTCGCATGATGTCCGAGGAAGAGAAGAACACCTCCAAGTAAGTGCTGCAAGAAACGCCATGAAAGACCTTGTGTGGTACTCGTCTGTCAATTATGTTATAAGATGAATTGGTGAATGTTTATCTGTGCATTTGCTATTGCGATAAATTCCAGGGTCTTTTGGCTTCTGAAGTCAAGCTGATGCGGGGAGATAACTTTAGTAATAGTCCTTTAATAGCTTTAGCGAATTTCAAAATGAACATTTTATTTAATCTATAGGGGTAGATTAAATAAACGTTTCAGTTCGAAAGTAATTATTTATTAATAAAAATAATTTAATAAAAATAATTACTATTTATTAACTATGTACCATTAAAATATCTGAATCCAATAGTCATTGCCGTAGACATCAAAATGTACCTCTGATCCTATTCTTCAGATTTCGATGGAGGCATTCTGTTTGATGAAGTAATCACAAGTCACTCGACGAGAATTGTTAAACGCAGCTAGAACGCAAAGGTAATTCACAATCCACTGATAAACATACACATACATCAATATCAAACAGCAAGTGTAGGAGTTTTTAGATCATCTGATAAAAAATGATTCCTTTGTATGTAATAAACACACAGACACAGCTTCAAAGCTGTTGTTTGGCATAAAGGCTTCAGCTTAATTTACTCTTAAATATATCAGTGAACCAACACACCTGACAGTGACTTTCTCTTATGTGTATAAATATTAACTAAGCTTAGGCAGACACAAGTCTATAAGTGTGAAACTCTCTCACTAAGACTATTCTGCTAAATATTGTCCTATAACAAAGCGACTCTAAAGATAAAC